CAACTTCAAGCTCTACAACAAAGCCACAGTAATCAAGACAATTTGGTTCTGGCACACGAACAGAGCCACAGACCATTGGAACAGAATAGAGACTCCAGACATTAACCCAAACGTATATGGCCAATTAATATACGATAAAGGATCCATGGACATACAATGGGGAAATGACAGTCTCTTCAACAGATGGTGCTGGCAAAACTGGACAATTACATGTAAGAGAATGAAACTGGACCACTGTCTAACCCCATACACAAAAGTAAATTTAAAATGGATCAAAGACCTGAATGTAAGTCATGAAACCATAAAACTCTTAGAAAAAAAAATAGGCAAATGTCTCATGGACATAAACTTCAGTGACTTCTTCATGAACATATCTCCCCGGGCAAGGGAAACAAAAGCAAAAATGAACAGGTGGGACTATATCAAGCTGAAAAGCTTCTGTACAGCAAAGGACACCATCAATAGAACAAAAAGGTATCCTACAGTATGGGAGAACATATTCATAAATGACAGATCCGATAAAGGGCTGACATCCAAAATATATAAAGAGCTCACACACCTCAACAAACAAAAAGCAAATAATCCAATTAAAAAATGGGCAGAGGACCTGAAAAGACATTTCTCTAAAGAAGAAATTCAGATGGCAAACACACACATGAAAACATGCTCCACATCGCTTCTCATCAGAGAAATGCAAATTAAAACCACAATGAGATATCACCTCACACCAGTAAGGATCGCCATTGTCAAAAAGACAATGAACAACAAATGTTGGTGAGGTTGTGGAGAAAGGGGAACCCTCCTACACTGCTGGGGGGAATGTAAATTAGTTCAACCATTGTGAGAAGCAGTATGGAGGTTCCTCAGAACGCTCAAAATAGAAATACCATTTGACCCAGGAATTCCACTTCTAGGAATTTACCCTAAGAATGCAGCACTCCAGTTTGAAAAAGACAGATGCACCCCTAAGTTTATCGCTGCACTATTTACAATAGCCAAGATATGGAAGCAACCTAAATGTCCATCAGTAGATGAATGGATAAAGAAGATGTGGTACATATAGTCAATAGAATATTACTCAGCCATAAGAAAAAAACAGATCCTACCATTCGCAACAACATAGATGGAGCTAGAGGGTATTATGCTCAGTGAAATAAGCCAGGTGGAGAAAGACAAGTACCAAATGATTTCACTCATATGTGGAGTATAAGAACAAAGGAAAACTGAAGGAACAAAACAGCAGCAGAATCACAGAACCCAAGAATGGACTAAAGACACCAAAGGGAAAGGGACTGAGGAGGATGGGTGGGAAGGGAGGGATAAGGGCAGGGAAAAAGGAAGAGGGCATTACGATTAGCATGTATAGTGCATGGGGGGCACGGGGAGGGCTGTGCAACACAGAGAAGACAAGTAGTGATTTTATAGATCTTACTATGCAGATGGACAGTGACTGTGAAGGGGTATGTGGATGTGGAGGGGACTTGGAGAAGGGGGGAGCCTAGTAAACATAATGTTCTTCATTTAATTGTAGATTAATGATACCAAAATTTTAAAAAAATTATTCCTCCCTACACAAGGAATAACACTAAAACCTTTGTAAAAGGTTTTCCTCAATATCTGCTTAAAAACCTCCAACAGGGGCCTGCAGCAATCCCCAGTGCCCACAGGAGACAAAAGATGACCTGAGCAGAAAACAGTGTTCCTTTGTGGAGCCTGAGGTAACCTGGACCTACACCCAACAAAACACAGCAAAGACACACCATGCCAGTCAATCAACATGTAGGCCACAGGTTTGTGACCTGTGCTCAAAAAGGCAAATCCAGCCTCCTTAGTCTGTCATTTAAAGACTAGCTGGTCTTGCCCTACATTCCCAATATGGTCTGTTATTGACCATCCATGGGAGTTTCTGTCCAGTGAGACAGAACTAGTCATTTCCCCGTGCTTTTCCCCATTTCCTCCCACCAACTGGAATCTAGCCATCCTGCAAGGGCAGCTGAAATCCCAGCTGCTCCCTGAGCCTCCTGGAGCAACACCTTCCTGAGAACACAGGTCCCAGGGTTGCATCTGGACCTCCCAATGGGAATAGGACCCACAGGGCAAAATGACAGCAAGGACTGAGCAAGCAACTGCAGGGTGGACATCTGAAAGGCACTGGGGACTTGGCGAGGGAACAGAATCCTAGCATAGAATCAACGGACCCTCATCCCGGCGAGGACTGGGTCTCCAGGAGGAAAAGCCAAGAGCCTCCGGGGACACAGCCTGGGCAGTCTCCTTTGTCAGCCGATGGCTTCCACCAACTCACCGCTCATGCAGGCCTCGTGCAGCGGGGATGCTGTGTACAGGGGAGGGTTGACCTTGGCCCCATAGGAGAGCAAGAGCTTCACACAGTCGATGCTGCCCGAGGCGCAGGCGTCACAGAGAGGAGTGCTGCCATCGATGTTGCAGGCATCCACCTGGTAGGGAGGAAGCAACGCCAGAGGGGGTCCCTGCAACTACTTTGCTCCTCCTTAGCCACGTTCATTTTGCAAAACACTCCTTAGAAGAATCATTTTTCTAGTACATACTACAGTGCTGGGTGGGCAAGGGAGTTCCAGGGCAGACAGTAGCACGGGCTGGTGTCAGCCTACTCAGTGCAGGAGTCCTAACCGGGGTGGCTCAACCCAACCCCACTCTCCCCTCAACCCCCAGAGCACAGAGGAGGCCAGGCAAGCTCTGGTTATAAGCTGAGGAAGGCAGGGTATAAAAGTGGGTTTTAACTCAAGTCTCAGCTAGGAGGACCTACAGCTGCTTAATGTGTCTCTCGTTGGAAAATCCTAGGGCAGGAATAGGCGATCTTTTTCCCAACTCCCAAACTGGCAGATTCTGCTGAGAATTTATGCAAATTCAGATGCTCTTTGGGTACATGCTGAAGCCTGTTCCAGTTCCCCCAAGACCACCGCAGTAGCCAGGCTTTCAGAGAGCAGACATCCAGCTGCTTCCCACCCTGTTAGGCATCCCGCCCCTCTGCTGGCTGCAAACTACTGGGGCTGCACATCAGCCGCAGCATATTTACACCAGGGAAAGAAGGAAATCAGATCTTGCTTCGTTTTCCTTTTTCCACTGAGAGCTAGCTTGCCAGCATCCTAGTTAGTCACCTCAGAGACTGGAATACTGTTCTTTGAGCCCAAACAGTTCTTCAGCCCAGGCCCCACTAGCCCTTCCAAAGCCTGTCTAATGTGCACGCTTACCCCTACCCCTGCTCATGTGCAGAGCCAAAGCCATCCCTCCAGCATTTTGCTAAAACTGCCCCTCTCTGGCCACCAGTGACTCCGATTAGTCAAGTCCATGACCACGCATACTGGTCCTCGGTGAATAGTTGCCATAATGACCACCCCCATCTCCCTGGGCTTCTACTACATCCCATTCTGCTTTCCTGCCTCTTTTTCTTCTGTCCCTTTGCACATCTCAGACCGCTAATCCCAGCCTCTTCTGTTCCTCCCATTTCATGTGCTCTGGAGCTGTCCCTTCCACTCTGCAAATACAGCCAGCCCCGGAATCTGTCCCAAAGGGCCACTCACTAGGGCCCCGGCAGCCAGCAGAAGCTGCACACACTGTGTCTGGCCCTGCAGGCTGGCCACATGCAGGGGTGTGATGGAGTCCACCATGACCTGGTTGACACAGGCACCGCTCTCGATCAGCCGCTGCAGCTGCAGGGTCTCTCCTCGCTGGGCTGCCTCATGAACAGGAGTGCACTCCACCCAGAATCCTGGAGAGGAAGAGAGACCTAGTATAAGACCATGCCACTTCCACCCAGGGCAAATGAACACAAGCACACTTATGAGACTCAAGACACTATATACAATCAGGTAACTGGTCCAATGCTCCCACTCAAAATTTGTGAGTAAACTCACCAGTGAAGGGTGGATCCAAGCAAATTGGCATGGCACATGAGGGCCTTGCAGATCTGGACCTTGCCCTGACCTGTTCTCACAACACCCCCACAGTGCACACGGGACCTACTGTCCACACACTTGCAGCTCATTGTTGCCCTGCCATTTCACACCCATGTCTCTGCGTATGTTCTCCCTGCCTTATAGGCCTGCCTTTGCCCACATCCCCATTGCCAATTCTGCAACCTCTTGCTGAGGTGCCACATCCTCCACATGGACCACCTAAAACACCTTCTTCTCTGGGAAACACTTCCACAATGCTTGCATACCCTCATTAAAGCACTTGAAAGGTCCCCCTCCCTGCCTGGAGGAACCTTGAAAATAGGGCCCATGTTTTCATTACTCAATTTTAGCAGATTCCTCAGTATTTTCTACATATAAAATCATGTCAGATGCAAATAGAGGTAGTTTTGCTTCTTTCTTTCCCTTCTGGATGCCTTTCATTTCTTTTTTGTGCTGTCACAGTTGAACTCGCACACTGCTGAACAGCAGGGTAGGAGCATGCATACTTGCCTTGTTCCTGTTCTTGGAGTGAAAGTGTTCAGGTGGGACTTAGTGTTAAGGATGATGTCAGCTGGAGGTTTTGCATAAAAGTGCAGCCACCTTCAGTAATGACCTTAGCTGAATCTTCTGGGTAACTTGCTGCAGCTTCTACCTAAGCACTTGCTGCTTCACCTGCACTTTTATGTCACAGGAGTGGCTTCTTTCCTTAAACCCATGAACCAATGCCTCAGACTTTTTTCTGCAGCTTCCTCCCCTATCTCAGCCTTCACAGAATTGAAGATAGTGTAGGGCCTTGCTCTGGATTAGGCTTTATCAGGTCAAGGAAATTCCCCTCTATTTCCAGTTTGTTGAGAGTTTTTATGAGAGGGTGTTGGATTTTGTCAAATACTTTTTCCTGCATCTATTGCAATTATCATGATGGCCTTTAAAGTTCTGTTAAAATGGTGTATTACATTCATTGACTTTCAGATATTAAACCAAGCGTACATGCCTGGGATAAATCCCACTTGGTCTTGGTGTATAATCTGTTTTATATGATGTTAGATTTGGTTTGCTAGTAGTTTGCTGAGGATATTTGTGTCTGTATCCACAAATGTCATTTTTCTTTAATCAATGTATTTGTCTGGCGTTGGTATCAAGGTTTTGCTATCATTCTGGCCTCAGAATGGTTTGAGAAGTATTCTCTTCCAGTTTTTGTTAGAGTTTATGAAGAATTAGCATTAAATCTTTAAATGTGTCAAAATCACCTAAAAAGAGATCTAAGCCTGGGCTTTCCCTTAGTATCAGTTTTTAAATCACTAATTCCATCTCTTCATTTGTTATGCATCTATTCAGACTTTCTATTTTGAGTCATTTTGGTAGTTGGTAGTTTGAGACCTTTAGGAATTAGTCCACTTTATTTATATTATCTAATTTGTTGGCATACAATCTATTATGGGCTGAACTGTCCACCCCCCCCACCCCCCACATACACATACAAATTCAGAATTTGAAGCCCTAACCCCTAGTACCTCAGAATGTGACTATTTGGAGACTCAGTCTTTTCAGAAGTAATTAAGAGTAATAAAAGGTAGCGCTTTGACCTCCCTGCCCCTATAACCAGTGGGTCTCACAAGGAGCACAGGTCAGCATTACCTGGAGGGCTTGTGAGCCTGTCAGTAGGTCTCAGTGGGGCCTGAGAATCTGAATCTCTAACAAGTTCCCAGATGCTACAGCTGGCCTGGAGACCACACATTGAGAACCAGGGTTTTAGACAATACCTCTCCCTCTGAATAGAGCCCCCTTCACTCCCCTATCCTCCTCCCTGCTTATCCAACTAACTTCTACTTGTACTTTTCCAGACTGAAATCCAGTGGTTAGTTCTCTGTAAGTCTGGGGAGAGGAAATCCCTCTAAAAACTGAAATCAGTCAAAGGGAGGAATAAAGTTTAAAATACGTTTATTGCTTACAAATCGCAGTCCAGGGCCTTCTCTCTTCCCTGCTCCAGCAGAAACAAAACTAGCCCTCCCCCTCACCTCTCAGGTACAGGTAAGCCCTCTGTTGCCCAGGTAATTACCATTGATATGGAGATGAACTTCTCTCCACCCCTGAGGAATGATGCAAAGGCACTAAAGCCATACTTCTTTCCACCTCTGAATGCCTATTGATATGCAGATGTACTAACACCAGGAGAAATATTCTGGAAATATTACAGTTTTACCCACATCTCCCAGGAGGCCTTGCCCACCCCAGTCCCCGTTCATGCTGGATAAGCCCCCCTCCGTGCCCCCCCTAGTCTGCCCGTCTCATTTTGGTGCTGTGGTCACCCTCAGTGGCCTGCACTCTGCCACTCAGTATTAAGAAACTATAACAGCCACTGAGTTTGGCTTCCAAACCATGCATCCCTCCCCAGATGCGTGGGCTAAGTTAATCATAGCAATCCCATTTCTTGTAGCCCATCTGCCCCACCTTCCCTAATGAGAAGGGAGGGAGGGAGGGCCTGCAAAGGTCTCACAGCTTCAAAACTCTCTCTTCCCAAGGAAGAGATGGCTCCCTTCTCCCTCAGGATACTGCCCAGATGTGGCCATCTGGCTACCTGCCTGCCAGTGCAGGCACGAGAACAGCAGAACCAGAGAGGCAGGAAGGTTCCAGAAACCTGGGAACCATGGTGAGTCAGTGGACACATGAGGCGTGGCACCCAGGTGGCAGCAGACTTCCTATTGTGTGCAAATATTTCTTTATTGTCTGAGCCAGGTGCAGACAAAAGCAGGTTAACTAGTGGAGACGGTAAACATCCCAAGTGCAGAATCTACAGCAACAGTTCCTCAGCACTCTCAGCCTGGGGCACATGAGAATCTTCTAGACACTAAACTTAAAAGGTAAAAAGTCACAGATGACAATGCTGGGTTAATAGTGGCATACCCTTACTGTCAAGCCCCCTACTTCAACAAGATCACATTGCATACACTTTACAATAAACAGCCTCCTTTTATTATTGCCCTTTATTATTATTACATCTACCTAGAAAAACTTCCAATCAACAGCTAGTTCCCCAGTCTGATCAAGTGTACTTTTACAAACCATGTCTAGGGTGAATTTATGTCCTCTGCAGACAGATAACCTACCTGGTCATCTGTTGATGACTGTCTACTAGAGATCACCTCATTTCTATCATCCTATAGCCCACCCTGCCTCCGCAGCAGCGCAGCATAGCACTGTGGGTCACAGTCCTCCAAGCCAGAACTGCTGGATCTGACACAGCGGTTTATGATATTTTGCAAGAAATAGCTTCTCTGAGAGTCTTGTTTCCTCACTGGTAAATTGGGATATAACAGTTTACTCACTAGTGGGCTATGAAAATTGAATGGCTTAACATAAGCATTCAATGTGGGGCCTGGCACACAGTAAGTACTCAATAAATGTTGTCTAACTGTAGTATTTTTACCGCCCCCTCCCCAAACTGTACCCTTCTGTCTTGCCCATTAGCTAAAGAGGGGAATTAGCAAATACAGGCTTACCTTGTTTTCTTGAGCTTCGCTTTACTGTGTTTTGCAGTTTTAAAATACGGCATGTTTTACAGATTGAAGGTGTGTGGCAACCCTGCACTGAGCAAGTCTATCAGCACTATTTTCCAGCGGCATTTGCTTACATTGTGTGTCTGCATCACATTTTGGTGTCATATTTTGGTAATTCTCGCAATATTTCCATATTTTTCATTATTACAGTGATCTGTGATCAGTGATACTATTGCTATTGTAATTGTCTGGTAGCCATGAACCGTGGCCATGTAAGACCATGAACTTAATAACCGTGCTCGTGTTCTGACTGCCCCACTGCCTGGCCGTTCCCCGTCTCTCCCTCTCCTCGGGCCTCCCCAGTCCCTGAGACACAATACTGAAATTAGACCAATAAATAACCCTACAATGGCCTCTAAGAGTTCGAGTGAAAGGAATAATCACATGTCTTTCACTTTAAATCAAAATCTAGAAAGGATTAAGCTCAGTGAGGAAGGCATGTTGAAAGCCAAGGCAGGTGAAAGCTGGGCACCTCTTGCACCAGCCAAGTGGCGAATGCAAAGGAAATGTCTCAAAGGAAGTTAAAAGTGCTACTCCAGTGAGCACACAAATGATAAGAAAGTGAAACGGCCTTATTGATGATATGCAGACAAGATCCAACCAGCCACAACATTCCCTTAAACCAAAGCCTAATCCAGAGCAAGGCCCTACACTATCTTCAATTCTGTGAAGGCTGAGATAGGGGAGGAAGCTGCAGAAAAAAGTCTGAGGCATTGGTTCATGGGTTTAAGGAAAGAAGCCATTCCTGTGACATAAAAGTGCAGGTGAAGCAGCAAGTGCTTAGGTAGAAGCTGCAGCAAGTTACCCAGAAGATTCATCTAAGGTCATTACTAAAGGTGGCTGCACTAAACAGCAGATTTTCACTTTAGGTGAAAGAGCCTTCTATTGGAAGAAGATGCCACCTAGGCCCTTCATTGTCAGAGAGAAGTCAATGCCTGGCTTCAAAGCCTCAAAGGGCAGACTGGCTTTCATACTAGGAGCTAACGCAGCAGTTGACTTTAAGTTGAAGCTAATACTATTTATCATTCCAAAAGCCTTAGGGTCCTTAAAAATCATGCTAAATCTACTCTGCTGGGCTCTATAAATGGAACAACAAAGCTGGATGACAGCACATCTGTTTATAACATGGTTTACTGAATATTTGAAGCCCATTATTGAAACCTTTCAAAAAGATGTTTCAAAATATAACTTCTCATTGACAATGTACCTGGTCATCTGAGAGCTGTGATGGAAATATACAATGAGATTAATTCTGTTTTCATGCTTGCTAACAACCTCCATTCTGTAGCCCATGGATCACAGATAATTTTGACTTTCAAACCTTACAAATGAATATATTTTGTAAGGCTATAGCTGCTACAGAAAATGATTCTTCTGATGGATCTAGGCAAAGTAAATTTAAAACCTTCTGGAAAGGATTCACTGTTCTATGTGCCACTAAGATTATTCATGATTCATGGGAAGAGGTCAAAATACCAACATTCACAGGAGTTTGAAAGTTAATTTCCACCCTCGTGGATGACTTTGAAGGGTTCAAGACTCCAATGGAGGAAGTCACTGCAGATATGGTGGAAATGGCAACACAGACAGAAATAAAAGTGCAGCCAGGAGATGAGACTGAATTGCTGCAATCTCATGAGAGAACTCTACAGATGAGGAGTTGCTTCCTATGAATGAATTTCTTGAGATGGAATCTACTCCTTATGAGGATGCTGTGAAGATTGTTGAAGGGACAACAAAGGATTTAGAAAATTATACAAACTTAGTTGATAAAGCAGCAGGAGGGTTTGAGAGGGCTGACTGCAATTTGAAAGAAGTTCTACTATGAGTAAAATGCTACGAAACAGCATCACATGCTATGGAGAAATTGTTCATGAAAGGAAGAGTCAATCAACGCAGCAAACCTCATTGTTGTTTTAAGAAATAGCCATGGCACCTTTCAGCATCCACCCCTCCATCAGTCAGCAGCCATCAATAACAAAGCAAGATCTGCCACCAGCAAAAAGACTGATTTCCTGAAAGCTCAGATGATGATAACCAATTTTTAAGCAAAGGTTTTTTAAAGGTGTATATACATTGTTTTAGACAATGCTATTGTACACTTAATAGACTAGTGTAGTGTAAACATAATTCTTACGCACTAGGAGGGCGAATGTATTTGACTCATTTATTGCAGTGGTCTGGAGTTGAACCTACAATACCTCTGAGATATACCTCTATGTGTTCCCAGGCATGGTGATGCACATTAGCCTGCGCTCATGACTGTGGACCCCTGACACAAACACCTTTCTCACAGCAGGAAGAGTGATAAAGTATGTGGGGACAGCAAATAGGTGGTCAGAGTGTTCCCCTATCCCATGAAACACACAGCAGACACGACTTATCCAACCCAGTCACAAAACCAGTCCAGCATTACAGGTAACCCTACAAATTGCTTAGAGACAAACCTATTTGGGAAGGAAAAAAAAAAAAAGCAAACCCACCTTGGTTTAAACCTCAGCTTTCTGCTTTCTAGCTGTGCACTCTTACCTCTATCTACAGGTACTGATGACTGCCTAGAAGCTGTCCCAGAACTTGAGGCCCCTGCTGGCGTATCACATAGCGGCTCAGCAGCTCTCACCATGGTACCAGGAGCTGCCCCTTTTCTCCATCCCACATTCTTAAGTTCTTGGTTAAGGATAACTGAAGAATAAACAGCACCTCCCCTCTTCGAGCCCAGATTCCCTTTCATCTTCTGCCAGGCTTGTACTTCCAAGTCCGAAGTTTCTGAGTACCGAGCTGAATATGGGGATTACCTTTTCACCTTTGCAAACAGACACTCACCTTGGGGCAATATGATCTATATTACACTTGCTAGGTTACCAACATTGGATTCACTTTAGGAGGTGACTTCCCCTAAATTCTTTCTACTTCTTGATAAGGCCGTATTGTGAGACTCTGCAATCTCTACCTCTGTGAGGTATTTGAGGTATTAAAAAATGAAAAACCTACATGCTGTGGTTGCAGTACACCTCACATACAGAACTTCAGATAAGAATGTTAAAATGGGTTCAAGTTCCCATCATGGGCCTGTACTGCTAGTCTAGCAGTATTGTTTGGATCCAGCACAGTCAGCTTATTTATTAAAGTTGGGAATTAAAATGTCAGTAGAATTTACTTTTGGAGAAAGATAGTAAATAATAAGTAAAACACTGACAAAGTAAAAAAATTCCATGAACTCCAGAAGTTGTGAATTCATTAGTTTAGAAGGTGCTTTTCTTCTAAAGCTACGTTCTTAAACCTCAAAAAGCATGCTGAGAAGTAATGCTGTGCCAATGACAAGTTCTATATGAACAAAAAGATGTTTTAATAGCCTTCCAAGGTTAGGTGTTCACTGCGTATTTAATTGAATCAATCAAGTGCTGACCACACTGGCAGGGTCAAAGTAGTGCCTGCCTGGGGTGGAACGCCAAGTACAAACAGATGTTTATTAAATGTCTTGGATCATGTTGGCTGTTTTACAAAATCCAAGTATCCTTGCCTTGCTATTACCGCAGTGCGGCGCAACGGTAACTTTAGCTTCAGACTTCTTACATTTTTCCTCAGCTACTGGTTTTAACCAGTCTAAAAATACTTTATATTTTTTTCTTTCAGGCTTTCAAAATGCTCTCCATGCTCGTTTCATCCTCAGAGTACTTCCTAGACAGGCGAGCTGCTTCCCGCTCGGGGCAGCAGGATAATGTCCCCTGGCCCTCCAATCCGTTGATTCTGAGCAGCCCAAAAATGGTTAAGATGCAGTGGAGCACCCTGGTAGCACTTTTCAGCGTGCCATCGGTCAGGTCAGGGGGTGCCTTCCGCTGGCGCGCTCCTCTCCGCGGCTGGGTGGGCCTGCAGATGCTACGGACACTGCGACCTGGAGCCGCCACCCAGCCCGCGACCCGCGTGGGTGCGCAACCCAGGAAGAGAACGGCGGGCGGAGAGGGTGCAGAGCCGCGTCTGAGGCACTGGGCTGCCGGCATCGGCTGCCTGAGCCCCCAAGCCCGACCTCCCTCGCTAGGAGCGCGCGCGCCACCCACCCCGGGGCTCGGGTCGCGCGCCGTCGCCGCGCCACCCCCGCGCCCGCTCGTACCCACGTCGCCCACGAAGCAGCCGTCCGCTGCGCGGGGTTCCATGCCCTTGCTGCCCCGGGCCGGCGCCGGGCTGGCGCGAGACGCGACCGAGCGCCACTGGGGCAGGTCCCCGAGGCGCGGCGCCGGGACTTGTAGTCCCCGCCTACGGGCGCGCCACCGGACTCGCGCCGGCGCCGAGCGCGGCTACCACGCCCCCGCAAACGCGCGCCCCCGGGCCTCCGCGCTTCATTTCAAAGGCCACTTCCCTCCGGCTGGCGCACTTCCTGCCTCTTCCTTCTCTCCAGAAAAATCGTAAACTCCCTGTCGTTCACGGTCGCGGAGAAAACGAAAACAAAGATACATGTCTTTCCAAGTCCCATGACAGAAACGCAGAACCGGTTTCCAGAGGCTTGCAGGTTGATGATTGAGTAAGCGAGCTTTTGTTTTCGCAAAGCACCTCACACAGTTCAGAAGGCCTAACGTTGGGACATTTGAAGCTATTAGAGCATGTGTGCGTGTGTGTGTGTGTGTTTGGTTGAGGAATTTTGCTCTGTATTCGTAAGGGATGTTGGTCTTCAGATTTCTGGTTATGTTTTTTTAGCTTTGGTATGAGGTCATAGGGGGCGTATATTGGAAATACAGGCAGCCTTGGAGATGTGGGTTTGGTTCTAGACCACCATAGTAAAGCAAATATCGCAATAAAGTGAGCTAAAAGAATTTTTTTGGTTTCCCAGTGCATATTAAAAATTGTGTTTATACTCTAGTCTATTAAGTTTAATCCTCTTAAATTTTTTGAAGCTTCTTTTATCACATTGTAGATGGTCTATCTTGAACAATGTTTCATGTGCAATTGAGAAGAGTGTGTATTCTACTGTTTTGGGGTGAATTGTTTCCTAGATGTCGGTTACATCTAATTGGTTAATAGTATTGTTTAAGACTTCTATTTCTTTGTTGATTTTCTGTCTAGTTCTGTCCATTATTGAAAGTGGGAAATCGAAATATCCAACTATTGTTGAATTTGATGACTGGTCTATTTGTTCCTTCAATTAGTTTTTGTTTCATATATTTTGATGCTCTGTTGTTTGATGCATATATTTATAATTGTTGAACTGACACTTTTATCATTATAAATTTTCCTTCTTTGTTGCTAGTAACAATTTTTGTCTTAAAGTCTATTTTGTCTGTTATTAGTATAGTAATTACCACTCCAATTACCTTTTGGTTACTTTTGGCATGGTATATGTTTTTCCATTCTCTTAATTTTAACCTATATGTATCTTTTAATTTTAGGTGTGTCTCTTAGACAGTATATTATTAAACCAGGTTTTCTTAATCCATCTCATCTTTGCCTTTTGATTGGCCCATGTAATCCATTATGATTAACGTGATTACTGATAAGGTAGGCTTTCCACTTGCCATTTGCATTCTGTTTTATTTCTTTTTTGATCCTCTGTTTTTCCACTACTGCCTTCTTATGAGTTAAATAGATATTTTCTAGTGCACCACTTAAGTATCTTTTTATTTTACTATAGTCTTGAGGTCTTTAAAATTGCCCTGGAGGTTACAAATAACATCTTAAAATAATCTAGTTCAGATTAATACCACTTTAATTGCAAGAGTATATAAAAAAATTTGCTCCAGTAGAGTTCCATTCCTTTCCCTTTCTTTAGTGCCATTATTGTCATACAGATTATCTTTATATATTATAAGCCCATTAAAAGTTTATAATTATTGATATATACCATTGTATTTTAAATCAGTGGAATAAAAGAGTTACAAACTAAAATACATCTATACTATCCTTTATATATTCCTGTGTAGTTGCCTTTACTGGTACGTATTTTTTCTTCTGGATTTGGATTACTGTCTATTCTTTCATTTCAGCCTGAAGGTTCCCTTTGGTATTCTAGAGCAAATCTGTTGATGACAAACTCACTTAGGTTTTGTTTGTTAGGGAATTTCTCTTTCATTTTATAAGTATGTTTATGCTAGATATAGAATTCTTGGTTGGCAATCTTTTTTTATCTCCCACAGGGAATATGTCATCCCATTGCCTTCTGGTTTCTATGATTTCTGCTGTGAAGTTAGCTGTTAATCTTAATGAGATCTTAATGAACATCCCTGTACATAAGGAGTTGTTTTTCACACTGCTTTCAAGGTTCTCTTTTTCATTTTCGGTAGTTTGATGCTGATGTATCTAGGTGTGGAGAGAGTGAAGGTTCCTATGGCTAGGATTCTAGCCTAGTCCTGGTTGGCTTACTCACTACACATGTGTGGTCAATACATTGCTATTGACTCGAAAGAGCTCCGCCCAGTGCTCTGGGCTGCTGCATGGCTGCAGGGCTGCAAGGCTGTAGGAGAGCAGAGACTGAAGCAGTGGCAGTGCCAAGTACAGAGACTGCGATAGCTGCGGGGGCAGAGAGGCCCAGAGGCAGAAACCAGCTTGCTGCATGCAGACTCACTCTGAATGGATGGGATTCTAGTGATTAACCTGCCCTCATGGGAATAAAGTTCTTGGGTATAAACCCTTTCACCCCAAGAATGTTCCATTGTCATTCTTAAACAAGTTTACTGTCTACTTCACAGTGAACTTGTCTGAGGCTGAAACCCATTGGCAAGACAATTGGCAATTTGGCAGGATTTACTGTTGACTGAGGAGCAGAACAGGCTGCCCTTATGGGAGGGGTGCTTCAGTGGGCTGCCCCTATGGATGGAAAGACCATCGAGTGTCCCCCAGTGGACATGTGGTCTGACGTGGCTTGCCTCCCAGAGGACTGGTCCTCACCCCAAGACTGGGAAGAGGTGGAGGCAACACCTGAGGCAGTAAAGTTGGCCCTCAGCAAAATAGGGAATTCCTTAAATAAACAGAGTGTGAGTGAGGCAGCAGGAACTGTGGGGAATTTTTTTCTCATAATATTGAGAAAGGCCATAAGGGAGAAACATGTCCTCCTGCAGGAAGCACAAGGAGGCAGCACAGAACATGAGGTGCAATGTGCCATTGAGATAAAAAATTTGTTGATGACTAAAATGGCATCACTATGAGGTACTGTGGAAATGGCGAAGGATGTCATGGTAGCCTGAGAGGAAGCAGCCTGAGAAGCAGCAGCCAGAGAAGCAGCAGCCTGAGAATGCAGGCTTCCAGGTGCCACGGGGAAGGTGAAGGATGTAGTGGTGCCATCAGCCCCAGAAATGAAGGAGGAGCAGAGGTTTGATGAACAGGTAACGGTGGAGGCCCTGCCAGTGCCAGGGGCATCAGCCCCATCTCAGTTGAAACCCCACCCAGTTGAAAGCTGGTGGAAAGCCCAGAAAGAAAATAAAGACCTGGCAATTGCAGGTTCCTCCAGGACAGGTGCAGCCCCCTCCCCAGGTCATGGAGCACTCCATGCTCTGCTCCTATACTCAGGCTCAAGCAATGAAAGCACAAAAGGAAATACAGTCTGTTTCTCGAAGAATTTAAAGGGCCCTGTGAAGGTAAAGAGGACCCAGATATGAGTTGATTTGATAAAGGCAGGAGCAGAGAGAAATTGGGTGGAAGGTCAAATAGAATCTTACTGGACCTGTGGCAACAATTGAAACCGTAGCAGCTGCTGAGGATGAAGAAGCAGAAGTCAGAGAGACAAAATTGGCCTTGTGTCTCCAAGACTTTCTGCTGGAGAGGCTGAAGAAGGTGGGTATTGTAAGGCCCACCCATGGTGTCTTGACAATGGGTTTCAGCCCCAGGCAAGTTAGCTATGGATTCAGTGTGACCAAAGAAATTGACAGCAAAACATTCTTGGGGTGAAAGGGTTATACCCAGGTTTATTTCCAGGTGGCAGGTCAGTCACTAGAATCCCATTCACTCAGAGCAAGTCTGCATGCAGCAAGCCGGTCTCTGCCTCTGTGTACCTCTGTCTGCACAGTCGTCCGACACAGCCATCCTCCAGGACTCTGCACAGCCGTCCCACACAGCCGTCCTCTGGGCCTCTGCTCTCCTGCAGCCTTGCAGCCCTGCCACTGTGTCGTGCCCAGAGCACTGGGCGGAGCTCTTTTTATAGAATCAAATTGTCCACAGGTGTGCAGTGGGCTAGTCAACCAGGGCCAGGTGAGAATCCTGGCCACAGGAACTCTCATTTTATCCACACATGGTCCTTTTGGTTAACTCATTTGGGTAGAACTGCTTTGAATACAGCCAGGATGACCACTTGGTGGCATGGATCTCCTAGGGCTTGAGGGTTATTATAATTTGTCCTAATTTTTGTTATTTGTATATTGTTGTAGCATCTGTTATTATGGAATTTGGTTACAATGTTCAAGCTTCCTCACACAAGGACCATTGCAGAATATTGAGAGCACATAGACTTGAGAGGTGAAAATCCTGGAGAAGCAGAGTGTGGAGAAAGAGAAGGTTCCTATGGCCAGGATTGTAGCCTGGCCCTGGTTGGCTTGCTCACTACACACATGTGGGTAATATGTTGTTATTGACTCTATATAAAGAGCTCTGCCCAATGCTCTGGGCTGCTGCATGGCTGCAGGGCAGCACGGCTGCAGGAGAGCCGAGACAGAGACTGAGATGGCTGTGGAGATGATGAGGCCCAGAGGCAGAGACCAGCTTGCTGCATGCAGACTCACTGTGAGCAGACAGGATTCTAGTGATTGACCTGCCACAGTGGGAATAAAGTTGGGTATAAACCCTTTCACCCCAAGAATATTCCAGTCATTTTTTGGTGTCACTGAATCCATAGTGGACTTGTCCGGGGCTGAAACCCATTGGCAGGACACTAGGTATGGGTCTCATTTATCTTACTTGGAGTAATCAAAAGATTAAGTCGTCTCAGTTTTTTTTTGGTGTGCACACAGCCCTGCATGCATACATGGCCCTCTAGATTTTTGTAAATATGTTGGAGCTTTAAAAAGCTCCCTATTGAGATTCATCACCTGGTTTTCCATTTAGGTTCTTGGCCAGCTTCTCATTTGCCCAACCTGGTATAGCAATTGTCACTGATTGTTTTCAACAAATGCCTTTGCGATTGGGCATTTCTCACGGGGTAAGCTCTTTTTCAAGTCAAATAAAAACAAGCTGTATGAGTTAGACTTTTCCAGAGAGCCTCCAGCTGATCAAATAGTGATAATCTGGGGAGAGCTCCAAACCTGTCTGCCCCTACTGGTGGCTGTTAGGCTACTGGTTTTCACAACAA